GGCCTCGGCGGCTGGGGTCGTGCCCTCGGGCCTCCAGGATGTTCTTTTATCTGAGCAAGAGAGTGAGTGTTCCGGGGGCGCCCGCGCTTCTCCGTCCCCGCCTCTGCCCGCATCTGTCTCGGTCGCGGCTCCTGCATCCCTCCTGCTCCCGCATCCGACCTCCTCCCGCCGGTCCCCAGAGAGTCCCGGACGCGCCCCGCCGCCCTCCGGTGCGACTCTCTGCCAGAGCGGCCCCAGGCGGGTTCTTTGGCGGGGCCAGCTGGGCAGATCAGTGGGTGCTTCCCCAGCGTGGCTCCTCCATCTGCTGCTGATCCAGGTGACTTAGATTCTTGGGGCCATCATGGGCCTCCGGGGAAGAGAAGAATTGCAAAAGGGTAGCCTAGGTATGCGTGGAAAGGGAACGTGGACGGAGGGTGTGCATTGCCATCTCCGTGCCCTTTTAAAAGCCCCCCAGGCGACTCCCGGGTTGGGCTCCTCCGCGGTGTGTACCCTTGTTGGTGGGCGCGTCTCTCTCTCTTTCCCAACGGGTAGCGCCCAGCACAGTTCAGAGACTACGCCCACTTTCTTGGGGGGATTTTCTTCAGCCTTGCAGCTCCCGTAGACTCCCTTTTCACCTCCTTCGTAAGAAGTTGTGAGCGGCTCTGGTTGCTTTTCAGATCGCCATTCCCAATAACGTGAAGCTGAAATGTATCTCTTGGAACAAGGACCAAGGATTCATCGCGTGTGGGGGCGAAGATGGATTACTGAAGGTGTTGAAGTTAGAGACACAGACGGGTAGGTGAATGAATGCAAGCCCACATGCTTGAACTTGATGGCAAATCGGCTTGAGATTTGCCCATGTTATTGTCAGTATGCAATTCTGGTTGTTTTTAAAAGGGGAGGAACAAAACCCTAAACATTTCATGGTGCCTTTCTAGAGGATTTTTGCAGGAAAGTTCAGAGAATATTGAAAGGAAAGGTCAGATGGCTTTTGCTGAAGTTATTGATGGAAAGTGAAAAAGAATTTGGCCTCTGATATTGAGTAATTTAATCTCTCAATTTTTTGGGTTCCTTAACTGTCTTAAAAGAAAATTTCTTTCTGTTATGTTTCTCAAACACATATACACATATGTATGTATATTATATATACGTTTAAAATCTTGCTTAACATATGCAGGAAGTTTTAGTTGCATTAAGAAATACATTCATGGCCCTGGCCAGGTAGCTCAGTTGGTTAGAGCGTTGTTGGGATACACCAAGATTGAGGGTTCAGTTTCCTACCAGGGCAATATACAAGAAACAACCAATGAATGCATAAAAAGGTGGAACAACAAGTCAATGTTTCTCTCTCTTTTCCTCTCTCTAAAAGCAATAAACATATCCTCAGGTGAGGATTAAAAAAAAAAGTGTATTCTTGCCTTGTCCGAGACAGCAACTGGATAATTAAAAGTAGTGGTTTTGAAGGAACTCATGTTTTTTTCCCTGACATTGCTTTCAGAGTAAAGAGTACTTTTTATAAGATTTTAAGACATGTTATGTGAAAGTAGAATTTTTTTAGCATTAACTTTTATAATTTCCACTCACAGATTTTAAAGATTTTCAAATGAAAGTTTTAAAAAGCTCTATTTTACATGTAACAACCAGATTTTCCAAGTGAAGATTAACTTACTGAAATGATGTATTTTAAGATTGTATGTATTATCTATAGTATGATTAGTAATCAAGAATAACAAAATAAAAAAGCAGTCTTTAAAGGCTTCTATTGCACTTTGGGTAAAATCTAAAATTCTTATCATTTCCTACGAAGACTTCATAATTTCCCCCGTGCTTATCACACTTGCCTCATCTTGTGTCATTCTCCCTGTTCAACTAGGACTTCTTTCCGTTTGTCAAAGGCTCTACCCCTCGACCCCCAGTCTTTGCACTGGCTGTTTCCTAGCATGGAATACTTCTCCCTTGTCCCTATCCCTCTTGGCTATCTCCACTTTATCCCTCAGTCTCAATTTAAATATCCTTTGTTCAGAAAGTCTTCATACATATACATTTATGTTGATATATTTATGTATGTGTATTTAATATGTGTCCCCTCAGTAGACTACAAGTTCTCTGAGGGGAGAGGCCTTAGTTATTTTATCATTTTGTATCCAGAACCTCCCACAGTGCATAGCATATTGTAGATGTTCAATAAATATTTGCTGAATGAATGAATGAATAAATACAAGATTCTGCAAAGTCTAGTAAAAACCAGTTTCCAAAGTCTTTGCTCCTTGAGCCCTCTTATGCTTTAGATTTTTCAATCTATATGTCATCAATATTTCTATTTGTGATCTTTTGGTAAGCAATAAGTAGTAATAATAATTACTAATTATTTAATAGACTGAGTAAACAATGTTCTTGTATACATTTTGCCAGAATAATATTTTTGCAAGGATGTACGTATTCTTGTCCATATTTCCACCATGAGAAAAATAGATTAGAATGAGGCATACTTAAAAATAATATTTCTAATGTCATCCAGGAATAGGATCTCCTTTCAAAAAAAGCAAGAAATGTCAAAATCTTATAACCTGTCATTTACATATTTGCAGTAATAGTTTTTGTTATTGTTTTTTTTTTTCTAGATGATGCAAAATTGAGGGGTCTTGCAGCTCCTAATAATCTTTCTATGAATCAGAATCTTGATGGTCATAGTGGTAAGTCATGTAATTGTTTAATCATATTTCATCTTTAGGCATTTAGAAATGATCTACTTAATGCAGAATTGTCATCATTTTTAATGATGGTAGTACTTAAAATAATCATTGCTGTTGAGCCATAGTATAGCCTAGAGCAGGGGTAGGCAACCTTTTTGGGAATGTGTGCCAAAACCAGCAAAATCTCTGACTCAAAATTCTTCTGTGTGCCAACCCTAATTTTTTGAGAACATGTTACGCCTATTTGGTATCTCTTAAGGTGGACGTGTGTGAAGAACCTTGAAGAAATAATAAAATTCATTTGAGCGACAAAAACACAGTCTATGATGATGAAAAATACATTTATTTTTTAATGTAGACATGTACACTGATAGTCCTACAGAAAACTTTGTGACTCCGTTTGATATTATCAGTGGGACTTTTGCTGCTGCCTCACTGATGACAGATTTTGATTCAGGTTTATATTTCGTGACCTTCAGAGATTTGCTGAATTTATCTGAAAAATAAAAAAGTCGATATTAAGAAAAAAATTGTAAATGGAAGATTATAAGAGAGGGTTTCGGGTGACAGCAAAAGTTACTGGCATGCCATGTTTGGCACGCGTGCCACGGGTTGCCCACCTCTGGCCTAGAGTCATTCAACAACTTTTACATTACATGATTAATCAACATAATAAATCTGAAAAAAAGTAGCTGTTATTTTATATATTAGAAAAACCTAGAGTCATTCAACAACTTTCACATTACGTGATTAATCAACATACTCAATAAATCTGAAAAAAGTAGCTGTTATTTTATATATTAGAAAATACTGTATCTGTCTCTGGATAGGATATAATCTTTTTTGAGAATTTGTCCCTTGGTTCCAGATTAAAGTAGACTAAAGAGATGTAACAATTGAATGCACTATTATTTTTTTTAATCTTCACCTAAAAAAATACATATGTGTGTGTATATATATATATTTTTATTTTTAGAGAGAGTGATAGAGATAGATAGATAGATAGAGAGAAACATTGATGTGAGAAACATTAACTGATACACATCCTGACTGGGGATCAAACCCGCAACCTGGGTATGTGCCCTGACCGGGACTGGAATTGAACCTACCACTTTTTGGTGCATGGGAGGACGCTCCAACCATCTAAGCCACCTGGTCAGGGCACATCTGAATGCAATATTAATTTAGATTGGATCTTGGAATGACAAAAACAAGTATCTATAAAGGACATTATTTAGACAATTGATAAAATTTGACTGTGGAATGTGGGTTAGAGAATAATATTGTATCATTGTTAAATTTCCTAAGTTGTAATGTGGTTATGAAAGAGAATGTCCTTATTCTTAAGAAATATACACTAAAATATTTAGGGATTACAAAAACTAAAAAATAGAAAAAGAAAAAATCAATTGTTCATATAACCCAGAGGTTTAAGATCTGCTCACAAGTGTGTTACTAATAGAATGGAAAACAAGGGAACAATCGGGAGTGGGGAAGAGTGATTAGGGGACATAACCACAAACAACACC